AATTTAATCCTATAAGTACTCAGTGTAAGAACAGTTCTTTCACAAAGGTAAAATTTAGCTCTATAGTTTTAAAATTAAAGTATATACTGTAGCAAAATGACTCAAATTTTAATCTCAATACAGAAGCAGGATTTGAAATGAATTTCCAGTACCAGTTAATGTTCTTGTTATATCTGTACAGAATAGAAGAAAAATTTACAGAATTGGAAAATGTAAATTTTTGTTCCATGACTGAAACTGTAAAAATATCTTGCAGCAGCATATAGAAAAGTTATGAAATCGGATGCTTTGAAGGTGGGGGTTGAACTACCCACAAGTTATCTGTTCATATTGTTTCCTTGGACACTCCAGCTGCCAAACCATTCCTGCACAGTTCAAGACATTTTTGTCAGAGCAGGCAGAGGAGAATTTGAACAGTTCATCCGACTAAGCAGTCATGCTTCAGTGGTGGGAGACATTCCAGTCCTGCTAGAATTCACTAAACCAAATGCAGTTTTTATATCTTCAAGAGCTTCTAAAGAAAGGATTAAATGTCTGGGCATAAATGATTTAAGAAATGTGAGGTAAACTGTGCTCTGCAAGATACAAAAGGCCTTAATAAAAAGGCAGTGATATGGAGAGAATGTAAATGCTTTTAATTTTTAACTTGGAATTCTTTCTTTACACCTCTAGCATGCTGTGGTTTGGCTGTTTTGAAGCAAGTGGTAACTATTTATGTATACAAAAACCTCTTCATTGTAGCTTTCCCAAACTTACATGGGAACCTAAAAATAAACATTGTCTTTTATCCTCTCCTCTGCAGCAACTGACCAACTTTGAACATGTCACCTCTTCACCAGGTAGGATGTTTTCTAATTTTATTTGTGTAGCTTTTCCACACAGCTGGTAAGAATAAGGACTAATGATCAGTAGGGTTATGAAATATTTCATTGCATAGTTTAGTATTACTATCACAATTTAGTGAAATCTGGCTGAATTAACAGGTGAATAGTTGTCCTAATCACTGAGTTCCCCCTCTATTTCTGCTCATTTCCCAACGGCCAACTGAAAGGTAAATTTCATTATGAAGGTCAATAAACATCTCAGAATATCCAGCAAATCAAAACAGTCTGTTTCATCAGCAGATACTTTAATAATGAAAGCAAAATGTAAGATTCACAAAGGGATATTAGCAATATTTACAGAACAAGTGAAAAAGTCAAGGATCCAATCTTCTCTTTACCCTTAGCCCAGTGCCTGGGATATTTCCATGGCCAGAGGAAACCTGAGACATTGCCCTACTTGTCACAGAATTCACCCACTTGACACACACACATGCTCTAGGTGAGCTGGTATTTTACACACTGCTTTGTAGAAGCGTTCTCCATATAAAATGAGTGGAGGGTAGCATCAAACATCATCTCCAGCTTTCAAAGGGAACCAGGTTCCTTTGAAAATCTAGATTTGCAAAAACCAAAACTGATTTTATCATCCTTTTTTTGGGAAAAAAACCAGACCACTCAGCAGATTCAGGAATGCCAATAAATTATTCGAAGTAGCTTTCTTACTGAACAAAATCATTTGTCAAGGATTCAGCATGTTCTTCTGCACACAGCAACTTCTTTTATGAAAAATAATATACAATCCAATTTGGCGGTTTGTGGAAGATGACAGCCCAGAACCCATCTGTTACTGAAGCCAACTGCAAGGCTGCTATGAATCTAAGCTATGAAAGCAGAATTTCTGGGGGGAGGGAGCAGAAATGCAAAAGCAGTGAGATGGATGCTACTGTATTGAAGAAATACAGGAATGGTATCATTCAGGAATGGTATCAGGTAAGGAATGGATCATGAACTAGACAGCTAAAAAGAAAAGTCTGAGGGAAGTTCCACTATAGAAGTCCCCAGGAAGGAAAAAAAAATGAAAAATAGAAAGCTTTCTTCAAAGAGGTAGAGATCTAAGAACAAAATTCCTGAATGAGAGTTCTATTACAATCACCTAAGCATTTTAGCACAGGTGTATTTTATAAATTATCAGGAACAGTTAAAAGAAATAGGTGATGAAACTCTCGCCCTAAAGAATCATAACCATTGAGGGTCCAAAATTGAACTAGGATTATGCCAGAAATATAGCTTTCAACAAAAAGAGGAGAGGTCACAGAATTTCAGTCTTATTTATTATTAAATACTACCATATGACATATAATGGCAAACCATGCTATTAAAACTGATTTCGCAACACAGGATCCTGAGCGGGAATAATTCCATCTCCTCTCCACTCTAAAAAACCAACAAGCATCTGAAAACCAGGAGATGGACTCTATCAGCAAAAAGCAAGCATTATGCCAGAAAAGGCACATGGGAAGGAGAAAAGAGATCCCCCAAGGATAAAGAGACTGGGAAGATCAAAAAGAGAATGGAACTAAGACAAGACAGAGCTTGGCTGGTAAGAGACCAGAAGTTCACAGATCACACAGATGGAAAACCCTTAGCAAACATCACACTGCCAGAGCTGAGAGCAAGTGGAATTAAAAAGTTGCAGTGAACTGGAAGCAGGCAGAAAAATTTTTGCATCTCAGCCAAAGTCCAACAACTAAAATGAACTATCCTTGATCACATGCAGCCTATAGTAGCTATAAGGGTACTTTAACTGTGTTTCAGTATTCAGATATTCCATTCATAGCTAACATCCATTCAACCGAAGGGTTACAAACCCCTCTATATTGCACACTGCTTCGAACAGAACACAAAGGATGTGCTTCACCAAAACCAACCCAGAACCATTTACCTAAGAGTGCAAAGAAAAGACAATAAAGCAGACAAAGATAATATATATTTGTATAACACCAATCTTGCAAACTAATAAGAAGCTGATCTCAGGGTCCCCATTAGTCTGCAATCTTTCTCATTCAGTATTTCCTGGAAGTATGTCTAACATTCTAAATATTCCACTTGGCACTATTTCTATGCAGAGCATGCATGCTTTTTCTATAATGGATAGTAATATTCTAGCAAGATAGGAAGGAATGAATACTTCAATATTACACATGAAAGCCTCCAGTTCAGGAAAGTAAGAATCTGGACAGACAAACAACAGATAACACACAAGATCTTGGTAAGAATGGCTCTCCTTCAGATACTGAAAAGCTGGTATCCAAAAACACTGCTATGGTAACTTGCAGAGCTGGAGGACAGCACGCTCCTGTCACAGCCTCATGTAAAACACAATCTCGCTTGCATTGTGGGGAATTCCCTGCACACCTTCCTACCACTGTGCAGCTGTGCCCAGCCTCAGCACAGACAGTGCATAAAAATCTAGAAAGCAATTTACATTTTTGTATTTCAGATTGTGCCAGAGATCTCTCTTGCAATGTTTGTTGGAATATTAATGAAATAATTAAAATTGATTTTTAATTAATTTTTCACCAGTTCTTTGCAGGAGTTTTTAAAATGTAAGCATGCTCTGGGAGACTTTTGTGCTATAATTCTGCTATCAAGATTGTTTTAAGGATTGATTTTGATTAACTTTGATTTTGTTAAGTGCACATAGACCTGAAATAGATAATAGCTAAAAGGAAGCTCTGGGTTGTGCAGTTACACTATTTGCTATTTGAGACCAGATGATGCTTCTGCCGTAGAAGGTAACTTCATGAAGTGCAAGTCAAACAATTGACATCTGGGAAATGCTTGACAGAAGTTTAAATAGAGGTGGAAAAAACGTTAAGCCCCAGAGTGATCCAAAAAGGTATACAAAGCATGTTTTATAAATTTTAGCCATGAAAACCCAAACAAATAAGTTGTTAAAATAAGAATGACAGTGGAGTTTTTTCCTATTCCAGTAGGAAATAAGATGCAGGTGTAAGATGCTAAGATTACATTTTCTAAAATCTCAAAGAATCGGAAATAACAACTACATTACAGTACACTTATAATTTTTAAACAGCAAAAACATGCTTTGATGAGCATACTATTTAACTCTCCCTTATGTAGTTACAATGCTGTCATTTCCAACCAACAGCATTCATTTTTGTGACTATATTAAGATGTCATTAACCATTTCATAACTGTCTGAATAAACAGCACTTGTTTAACTGCTTCAATGTAGAGCATATTCTCCTAAACAAGGGTAATATTTAGTTCATATTTGCATGATCTTGTGATTATCAATCAATAAGAATCCACATCTCCTTAGAAAAGTAGTGAAAATCTGACCAGTGTAGAACAGCATTAAAATCAAAAGTTTCTGACTGTCAAGTTAAAGACATACTCTGACAATTCAAATATATTGAATTAAAATCTATCCAATGTGTTGCCGATTTTGCTTTTCTGACATTTGACTACACGAGAGTGTTAGCAGAAACTGGATATGACACATAATTTTGCAAGATGGGATCATGTAATAGTCTGTTGAGACACAAGGTTGTATGGTCCAGCAGAGTGGAATGATGCTGTTCATGAACGCTGTTCATTCAGCATTTGGAAACTGAACACATGCACACGGTTTGCTTGTTTCTTTCAATGTAAAGGGCTCTTTGTTTATGATTTTAAGGAAAACATTTGACTTGAAACAAACAAGTCTTTTTCTGTCGGGTGTGATTAAAGCCGCTGAGAGACTTGAAGGAATTCATAAAGGAATAAAATCATGGTAGTTCCGTCCATGCCTAGGATCCCAGCATGGAAAGAAACTGTATGTGAAGAAGCCTGGGTATAGGACACCGAAAGCACACCGCAGTTAGCCTTTGGACAAAAGGCAAAAGCCTGTTTTGTTTGGGACGCTTTCACAGGGACGCGATCCTTACCTACGCTGTTCGTGCGGTGCCGCGGGGCAGGCATGGCTCGGCCGCCGGCGGGAGCGCTCGGAGCCCGCGGGATGCCCGCGCTGGCCCGGGGGCGCCGGCCCGGCTCGCCCCGGCTGCGGCACCGCAGCCCCGGCCGGCCCTCGCAGCCCCTGCCCGGCGAAGTTTCCCCCGGGGCCGCTGCCCGGCGCCGCCACCCCGCCGGGGACACCGCGCCCGCGCTCACCTGTCGTCGCTCTGCCAGCCCTGGTCGCCCAGCAGCAAGTCCCGAAAGCGGTACCGCGGCGGCAGCGGCGGCACCTCGCTGTCCAGGTCCACCATGCTGGCCGGAGAGAGGGGAAGCCCCGCCGCGCCGCCCGAGCAGCGGCCGGACCCGCCCGGCGTGTGGGGGGCAGGAGCGGCGCGGCGGCAGCGGCGCGGCGCGGGCGGGCTGCCCCCGCACAAAGGCGCGGCGGGGCTGGCCCCGCGGTCCCCGGCGGCTCGGCGGGAGCCTCTCGGCCCCGGGAGCCAAGTCCCGCCCCGGGGGGAGGCAGGTGGTGGCGGGCGGCGGCCTCGGCGGCGGCGCGACCGCCCCCCGCCCACGCCCACCCTCACAGCGAGCGAGCGAGCGGCGAGCGCGCCGCCGCGGCCCACAACAAAGGGCCGTGCCACGGCCGGGCCGGCGGCGTCGCACCGGGCACCGCAGCCGCTTCGCCCCCCGAGCTGCTCCCTGCCTGCTCCCCTCCTCCCGGGGCAGCCTCAGGGGTGTTTCTCTGTAGGCCCCGAAACGTGAGAAACGGGTGTCTTACCTCAGGTAGCGCCCGCTGTGCTGGTGACGGTGCGGCCGTCTGGGCACGGCCGGGGCTGGCACAGCCTCGCCCGCAGCCCGCGGTAACCGGGCACACCTGGGCACAGCCAGAGCTCCTCTGAACACCAGGTACAGCCCGCGGTAACCGGGCACACCTGGGCACAGCCAGAGCTCCTCTGAACACCAGGTACAGCCCGCGGTAACCGGGCACACCTGGGCACAGCCAGAGCTCCTCTGAACACCAGGTGCAGCCCAGCCCGCTCCTCGTTCCGTCAATTTCTGAGCCTGCTTAATGGCTTTTGGACTGGCAGGTGGTGCCGGCCCTGTAAAAAAGAAAAACCACAGAGAAGTTGAACTATTCCCATAGTTGAGATTTGCAGGTAATGTCTGTAAGTGTGAGACACTCTAAAAGTGTTTTAGACACGCAGGACCAGCCCAAGTATGGCAGCCTGGAGTGTATCACACGGCAGTGTGCCCTGCTGAGAATCCAGCTCTGAGCCCCATGCTGTGATGCACAGATTTCCTCAGGTAACCAACAGGTAGCTCAGTGCAGGACTCACATTGCCTGTGCTGTTGTTACAGTCATTGCATCTTTCCTTGCTTCTTTAGCACGAAGCTCTTAAGCACAGCTTCGGTGATTGCTGTTTCTTTAGAGAGCTGCAGTATAGAGCCTGGCCCTGTAAAACGCTGGGATCACTGGAGTATGATGCTTACCCTTTTTCACAGCTTGCTGCACTCAGCATTTAGAATGTGCCTCTCAGAAAGCCTTGTCAGGTGAAGCAAAACAGATCTATGTAGCAAGAGTTCAAAGGTAACTTGTTCTTTGCTTTGGCTGATATAGGAAATAAATAAAATAGTGAATTTTTCTGCATCCATGTTCTTGACACTTTTACCATCCTGTGTTCTGAGGTCAGAGTTCTCTAAAAGTCTAATTAAAAAAAAAGTCCAGGATCTTTCTTCAGAGTATTTGTTGTGGGCTGCCCACTTTATTCTTTCTCAGCTGCTTCTCCAGTTAAAGGGGCTCTCTCGTGTAAGAAAACATTGTTTCCTTTCTCTGCCTATCTTTCATCTTACCAAAACATGAGGTGGGGTGAAGCCTGTACGTTATAATGTTTTGTTATAAAGGCAAAGCAGTTAAGCTGACTGCAGTCCTTTTCTGAAGTCTATGAATCCTAGACTGGCTGGGAAATTAATGGTGTTTCTACTCTATCTTCTAGCAGCCTCATTAATTTTTCCACCTGAGTTGATTAATTTAACATGTGTTTTCATACTTGAGGAGCTAAGTAGCAGGAGAAGCTTTTGCTCTTTTTCTACCATGGAAATGCACTTCAGACAGGTAATAGCTGACTGGGAAATGAGCAACCTGGTGAGCAGTTGAGCAGAGCTAATAGAAAACAAACTCATTACTGAGGCTATAGTCATGCAATTTATACAGATGCTTAATTCTGTGCTCCCAAGTAATAGAAACTCTTTGCAATGTAAAATGTGTTTTTACATGTCTGACAGTCCGATGCCTGATCCCTCTGAAAAGCCCTAAGTGTATAAAATTGGGCAGAAAGGGGGTTTTAGTCTGCTAAATCCAGTATTTTGATTAGTAACTCAAAACACTTGGGCAACTTTTGTCTTCAAGCAGAGGAGACACTGAGTCATCTGCTTGGAGACAGGTGCTGCTTATGAGCCATTATACTGGGTCACCGTGCTCAAGCCAGGTGTTCCTTGTTAGGTGTTTGTGTTAAAGAAAAGCTGTGAGCCACACTCAGGAGCAAATGTAGGTTTGTGCTTTTGGGATGGTTCTGGCCCTGAGAAGTGTCAGGGGCATCTGTGACCCTGACTTAGGGACTGAAAATAGACTTTAATCGATCCGTTCTTTTTTGTCAGAGTGGGTATAGCTGGGTAGCTCTCAGTATTTGACTGAAGTCTGAGAAAGAGAGGGCATTTAAGAACTGTGTATCTGAGTTTACTGCTAGTGACTGGATTTAGATCCTGGATCATACTTAGGTACAGAAAGAACAAAAAAAAATTACTTGTTTTTTCTTTTTAGGTTACCATATTATTGATGGCATATAGGTAAAACAGACAGAAGCAATGCAAATGGCTTCTGCACTTTTTGAACTTTTTGAAGTGTATATGGAAGGAAACACAGGTTATTCTTACTGTTCTTAATTCAAGATGTTCTACCCTGCTATCTGAATTATGCAATCTTCTGTAATAACGTAAATCAGATTATCAGGTTAGGTTTTGATATTTTGCTCAAAATGCTTTCAAGGTTCTCTTTAATCAGTTTGATTATTGACACTTACTGGGAAATTCTTTAGTGATGGTATTGATACCTAAAATTATTCAAAATTTATTGAAGGGAGTTGGAGAAGCATCTTGGCCATGATAAGCTGCTCATTTTCAACTTGTGAATGTGTTGCTGGTCCTCAGCATTGAGGTGCTGAAATAGTCCTGTCCTGCTAGACAGCGTTCTGCCCTGTTCCCTCCATTGATGCTCAAATATCTACCGTGGCTCAGAGACTCGTCCTCCCCAGCTGATAAGCTTATCATTCCAACCATTGTTTTTGTTCTGCTAAATAATAATCTGAGGTTGGGGGAAGAAACAACACCAGTAAATACAAATTTTTTTTGACAAAAGGGTGAAGAAGGATGAGGTGTTAATGCACAGTAACTTGTCTTTATTGTCCTTTCAAGGAAAATAGTCTGGTATTGTCTGGGTGGCATTCAGGTAACTCATGCACAAGGCACTGTAAGGTGTAGTCTGGGCAGAAGTGGAAAATGGTCAGTGGAAATTCCCTCTCTGCAGAGTTTGTGTGGTTATTTTTGATTTGTCTGTTGGTATTACTAAAGGGTTAGGCAGGCTGAAAAATTGGTTGGCTAAAATAAAAATAAATCAAGCTCATTTTGAGTTTTTTTCCCAAGTCTCTTTTTTTAATTTTTTTATTTTTCTTCCCCATAATTAAGAAGCATCTGGATGTTTGTGTTGCTGTTGGGAACTTTGGAAGTCTCCCATTTCTGCCAGGTGATCAGTTCTCACTCAAGTATGTGTGGCTTTGGGTTTAAGGCTAGAATAGGGAACTAGAGTACTGACAGTTCGGCAGCCCTTAGAACAGTTCTGCACCTTTGGGAGCTGAATAGAATATTTAGGAACTCAGCATTCAGAGTTCAAAAATTATTTGGGGTTTAGATTAGTAAACTGTACTTCATTAATCTTTTATTTACTTAGGCTGCAGTTTCATTTCCAAAATAGTCTGTAGGAAAAATCATCATGACTATATCTGTTAAAATGTACCTAGATGGAAGTCTGAAGAGTCCTTGCTGATAAATACTCCTTACAACAGAAAACTGAATTTCAGCATTAAGAAAGGCATACTTCTCAGTTTAAAAACAACATTGTTTACTTTTTAAATAAATTTGTTACCATCTTTTTTCTTTCCTGGGGCTTTCAGACCATCAACTGCAAAAGCAATCTCAAATCTGAAGTACAGGTGCCTTATTGGACTAAAACTGGCTGTGCTAGGCTGAGTTTCAGCATCCTGGAATCTGAATGAATCTGAGAGATTAAATCAAATCAGGAGCAAAAACTGGTGAGAGCTGTATTTTGAGGACACTCCCTATTTACCTACCTTGGTACAGGATTGTTATTTAATGATGTGGAGTGTAGGACTAAAGAATACATCAGTGAATGTCTGGATGGGTTTAAACTCATTGACTGCAATTTTGAATTTTTAAAATACTGCCCACTGATAATCCTGGCTAATGGACCTTGGCCAGGATGCCAAAGAGGATTTTGAGTTGGAGGAGGGTAAAATGACCTGGAAGTTCTATATCCTTTGGTTTATCTTCACCCAGTATTTGTGCTTCTTGAGGCTGATGGAAAGCTAAGGGATGTTGCTGAGCACTGCAACATTTGTAGAGCTCACAGCACTTTGAGATTGTACTTTTAGATCCTTACCTCCACAGTATCTCATTCTTGCACATTTTCTTCATGTAATCTAAAATAAAATCTCTTAGGCCTATTTTCTGTGTCAGTTACTGCTGGATGAGGGCAGCCTGTTTTATCTTCTCCATTTTTGTGACCATAACACCAAACTGTTTATTTCCATTTCAGCTCCAACTACTGCATGGACTCTGTCTCATTCTTTTGTGTCATTTCCTATTCAAATGATTACTTGTCTTACATCTTTTCCTAACAGCCTCTGTTCACACACATTATAATGTGAAAGCATCATCATTTTCTTACTTCTCCCTTGCTGCAAAGGAATTGTCACTGCAATCCCACTCTTCTCTTTCACATCCCTTTCTTTAAAAGGACTTCCTAGGGAGTTAGGGCAATGTTAGCTTATTGGGTTTGTCCTTTTTTGTTTGCTTTTACACAAATGGGATTTTTGGCTTTTGGAAATAAGGCCCATTTTTGCTTTACAGTACAGTCTGGGGGTGGGGTCTGAGTATTACCATAGCATAAAAATGACAGTGTAGCCCAGTAAGTTTCTGCAGAAAGAAATGCTTGTGTCACCCCCTTGCTGGGTAGCTGGGT